AATCGTGCTACTGCACTCCAGCCTGGGGACAGAGCGAGACTGCGTCTCAAAAAAAAAAAAAAAAAAACCTAGTACATTCCGGGGGGTGGGCTAAGTGATAACCAGCGCCCCTCCCCCCAGGCCAGTATGGGATCCCTGAACCATGGAATTTTCCCTTTCGGAGGAGCTACTGGTGTGGACCTCGGCCCCTCAAGAGTCCAGCCCCGTGCCCCACGCAGCTGGACCCAAAGGGTGAGGCCCTACAAGGCTTAATAGCTGGTTTCCCACTTAGATGCCCAGTTCTCCCCGCAAAATGAGATTCCACAGATGCCAATGTCAATGACCTGGACACCCCAACCCTCACGCCTGCCCTGAACACACTGCAGTCCCCAAGCTCCCCCAACTTTTATAGGCCCCAGCCCAGCAGGTCCCGGATTCCACAGCCTAGCTCTAAGGGACTTGCAGGCACTGGGACACCCATGACCTCCATGGCTGAGTCCATCCCGTCTCTGCAGTGCTGGTGGAGGAGGCACCGCCTGGCCTGAGTCCTGGGGTCTCCATTCGCGGCCTGGAGAAGCACTTTGCTGGCAGCCTGCAGCCAGCCCTGCGGGGACTCAGCCTGGACTTCTACCAGGGCCACATCACCGCCTTCCTGGGCCACAACGGAGCCGGCAAGACCACGACACTGTGAGCCCCCCCACCCCTCCTTCCCTTCCCTTGGGCCTCAGCTTCTCTAGCCATTCAATGGGAAAGGGGTCAGAAGGTTCCCATACGCCTGAATGGGAGAGAAACCCCATCTCTACTAAAAATACAAAAATAAGCCAGGTGTGGTGGCGGGCGCCTGTAATCCAGCTACTCGGGAGGCTGAGGCAGGAGAATCACTTGAACCCGGGAGGCGGAGGTTGCAGTGAGCCAAGACTGTGCTGTTGCACTCCAGCCTGGGCAACAGAGCAAGACTCTGTCTCAAAAAAATAAAAATAAGCAAATAAATAAAAATGAGGCTATCACAGGGTTTTGGATGTAGCATTTAATAGGTGCTCTGTGGCCAGGCGCGGTGGCTCATACCTGTAATCCCAGCACTTTGGGAGGCCGAGGCGGGTGGATCACAAGGTCAGGAGATCGAGACCATCCTGGCTAACACGGTGAAACC